CCTGGTGGCTCAGATGGTGAAAAACCCGCCTGTTCACCTGCAAAGCAGGAGACTTGGGTTCTATCCCTGGGTTGGGAGGATTTGCCGGAGAAGGGCATGGCAACCACTCCAGTATTCTTGCCTGGAGAATCCCCATGGACAGAGGAGCCTTGTGGGCTGCAGTTCATGGGGTCACAAAGAGCCTGACATGACTAAGCAACCAACCACGCAAACCATAAAGATGTGTAAATTTAATATTAGAAAAACTAATAAAATAACACATGCTCGCCATACCCTTATTGGAGTAGTAAATAAATAACAGAATCTTGAATTCATACACAAAAAAGAAAATTTGTGTATGAATTCAAGATTCTGTTATTTATTTACTACTCCAATAAGGGTATGACAAATAGGAAAAGGAGTATATCAAGGCTGTATATTGTCACCCTGCTTATTTAACTTATATGCAGCGTACATCATGAGAAATGCTGGGCTGGATGAAGCACAAGCTGGAATCAAGATTGTTGGGAGAACTATCAATAACCTCAGATATGCAGATGACACCACCCTTATGGCAGAAAGTGAAGAGGAACTAAAAAGCCTCTTGATGAAAGTGAAAGAGGAGAGTGAAAAAGTTGGCTTAAAACTCAACTTCAGAAAACTAAGATCATGGCATCTGGTCCCATCACTTTATGGGAAATAGATGGGGAAACAGTGGAAACAATGTCAGACTTTGTTTTTTTGGGCTCCAAAATCACTGCAGATGGTGATGGCAGCCATGAAATTAAAAGACGCTTACTCCTTGGAAGGAAAGTTATGACCAACCTAGACAGCATATTAAAAACCAGAGACATTACTTTATCAACAAAGGTCCTTCTAGTCAAGGCTATGGTTTTCCCAGTGGTCATGTATGGATGTGAGAGTTGGACTGGAAGAAAGCTGAGTGCCGAAGAATTGATGCTTTTGAACTGTAGTGTTGGAGAAGACTCTTGAGAGTCCCTTGGACTGCAAGGAGATCCAACTAGTCCATCCTAGAGAGATCAGTCCTGGGTGTTCATTGGAAGGACTGATGCTGAAGCTGAAACTCCAGTACTTTGGCCACCTCATGCGAAGAGTTGACTCATTGGAAAAGACCCTGATGCTGGGAGGGATTGGGGGCAGGAGGAGAAGGGGACGACAGAGGATGAGATGGTTGGATGGCATCACCGACTCGATGGACATGAGTTTGAGTAAGCTACTGGAGTTTGTGATGGACAGGGAGGCCTGATGTGCTGTGATTCACGGGGTCGCAAAGAGTCGGACATGAGTGAGCGACTGAACTGAACTGATGTTCTTTGATCATTTTAATCTATTTATTAACTGTAATGGTAACTAAATACAAAAGAAAAAATAACACAGCTTTATAGAACCAGAGAATATATCAATTTGCACGCAGATTTTTATTGCATAAAGTTGATAGTGATCAATCAAAGATTCTCAAACATCAAAACATGGCATGGGGCTTCTCTGATGGCTCCAGTGGTAAAGAATCTGCCTGCCAGTGCAGGAGACACGGGTTCAGTCCTTGATCCAGGACGGTCCCCCATGCCGAGAAGCAACGAGCCTGTCTGCTACAGCGACTGAGTCTGTGCTCTCGGCCCGGCGAACCGCTGCAGCTCCTGAAGCCTGTGTGCCCTAGAGCCTGTGACCTGCAGCAAGAGAAGCCCCAGGATGCTTGGGCACCGCAAGTAGAGAGCAAAGTCTGAGCAGCAAGAGAGACGCAGCACAGCCAAAACAAAAAGAAATGAATAAATAAATACTTTTTAAATGGTCAGTTAAAAGAAACATATCAATAGCTATGATACTCCAAATCGCATCTTTTGCCATTATTAAAATTTGATGACAAACTTTATATGCCAATTTTAAAAGATATTAGAGAATATAAAGTTTTTCAAAGTTATTTTAGGGATGTTGCAAGCAGAGTCTTAAACACTGCTATTTTAGGAGCCAGGCCCCACATCTTGGGACCAAAGAAAATCCTATGTACTTTTTTCAGTGGTTGGAGAGAATCCATCTTTAGTATTGTAATAAATGGTCTTATTTTTCACTTTGACAGTGGAGCCAATACTAAAGAATGCTGCAAGAAAATCTCAGTAATTAGCTGTCATTCAGATAGGAGAAAATGTCTAGGGTGTTTAGTCTTAAATAACTTCTAAATGCAAATGATTCACAAACTTATAATTCTACCCCAGACCTTTTTTCTGAGTTCTAGATTTACATTTCTAGCTACCTGTGACATATCCACGTGATATCTTCTCACAGGCAGTTTGCTGATGTCATGTCCACAGTTAGAATTCTGGTGTCATGATTACCCTCCCTGCAACCCCACACTGGTTTCTCTTCTCAGTAAATATCCTTTCCATCAGAGTCTCAGGCACTGTTATCCCTGCTTCTGTCACAGTGACTGCTGCCACCACTGATACTCCTAGATTACTTGGAGTCTAAAATGGGGAAAAAAGAAATGGAAAAAAAAATTAAAACACTATGTGATTTCTTTTGTCTTCTTTGAGTATTAGAGATCCTCTTTCTTTTTCTTGGGCCAGAACTAGAGGCTTCTAGAGTCTCTCTGTCCAGGACCAGGTCCCAGTTCTGGTTTCAGTCTTCCCTGAGTCCAGACTAGGAGATACTAGAAGGGGAAAAAAAAAAAAGAAAACAAAACACAGGAAACTCTCTGCTGATTTAGCAGGATTTCACATTCTCATCTTCTTTTCCAACCTGTCTACTATATTTCATTTTAGAGCAGTCATTTATTCTGTCCACGTTATATCTCCATTCAGTGGGAAAGACAGGAGGGAGTCACTTACCCTCAACTAGAACCTCTGTATTCTGCATCTTCACTTCTTTTTCACAAGCATTTTCCATTTTATGAAATAGTTAATAGGCACCTACCACACTCTTGATCAGACATTTAAGCTGCTTTCAGTTTCTCCCTATTATAAACCATAGGGAATGTATACTTAGAACTCAGGAAAATCTCTTTTTATGGGGCTTAGGTCTTCCAAGCAGATTTGTATTATAATGAGACTTCTATTCACCATCAGGATCTCTCTTATATTAAATGAATCTAATAGGTATTAATTTATAAACAAGATCAAGGAACTCTGTTATGGTACAATCAGCAAGATCTCCTGGAGGAAGGCATAGCAACCCACTCCAGCATTCTTGCCTGGAGAATCCCATGGACAGAGGAGCCTGGTGAGCTACAGTCCATGGGGTTGCAAAGAGTCAGACATGACTGAAGCGACTTAGAATGCATGCAACACAATCCTAGTCTCCAGTTCTGATCACTTTGCTGCATTGTTTATTCTGTGGTGGCAAAGTTTCCATTCATAACTGAAATCTAGAAAGACTCGAACACTCTAAGTTGAGGTAGTGGTCTAAGTTTTCTTCTTCCAGCTCTTTGATTGAGCAGGTTGCCAACGCTCTTCCTCCTGCCCTGCCTGCCCTCTGGTGGAGGTGCCAAAGAGCAGACTGGAGAGCAAGTGGCTATAAAAGGGGGTGCCTGTGGGGGGAGACTGAGTTATGCCTAAATGGCAAACCAGCCCCCGAATAATTAAAGAACCAGTGTATGACTTCAGAAACCTCTGTTCCTTGGCTTCTCTAACCTCAAATCGTGTCCCCACAATAGAATCTATCATAAGGCAATTGTCCCCAAACTGGTACCTCTCCATAGATACTGCTCTGCACTTTTGGTTTTGTTGACCTGATAATTCTTACACAGGGAAAACATTTTCTTTCCCAATTTTATATCTGGAAAAAACACAAGTTGGTGAATTAGAAAGAGCTAGGAAGTGAGGGTTCCGTTCCCAGCTCTGTTGTTATTCAGTCACCTAGTCATGTCCAACTCTTTGTGACCCCATGGACTGCATCATGCCAGGTCTCCCTGTCCCTCACTATCTCCCAGAATTTGCCCAAGTTCGTGTTCATTGCATTGGTGGTGCTGTCCAGCCATTTCATCCTCTGATGCCCTCGATCTTTTTCAGCATCAGGGACTTTTCCAGTGACTCTTCTGTGTGCATCAGATGACCAAAATAATGGAGCTTCAGCTTCAGGATCAGTCCTTCCAGTGAATATTCAGGGTTGATCTCCATTAAGATTGACTGGTTTGATCTCCATGCTGTCCATAAGACTTTCAGAAGCCTTCTCCAGCACCACAGTGCGAAGGCATCAATTCTTTGGCATTCTGCCTTCTTTACAGTCTGTCTCTCACAGCTGTATGTGACCACTTGGAAGACCATAGCCTTGATTATATGAACCTTTGTTGGCAGAGTAATGTCTCTGCTTTTCAACATACTGTATAGATTTGTCATCACTTTCCTGCCAAGAAGAATTTGTCTTCTGATTTCATGGCTACAGTCACCATCCACAGTGATTTTGGAGCCCAAGAAGAAGAAATCTGTCACTACTTCCACCTTTTCCCCTTCTATTTGCCATGCAGTAATGGGCATGGATGCAGTGATCTTAGTTTTTTTAGTATTTAGTCTTAAGCTGGCTCTTTCACTCTCCTCCTTCACCCTCATCAGGAGGCTCTTTAGTTCCTCTTCACTTTCTGCCATTTAGAGTGATATCATCTGTATATCTGAGGTTATTGATGTTTCTCCCTCCTATCTTGATTCCAGCTTGTAACTCATCCAGCCCAGCATTTCCCATGATGTGCTCAGCATATAGGTTAAACAAACAGGGTGACAGCAGATAGCCCTGTCATACTTCTTTCTCAATCTTGAACCAATCATTTGTTCCATACAGGGTTCTAACTGTTGCTTCTTCTTTTTTTTTAATTGTTTAGTTTTTATTTCATAATCATAAATTTAACTTTGCAATCCAGCTGAACTTGGAGGGGGATAAGAAAAGATGGAACCCAAAGAACTATAGCAAGAGCACAAATAATATAGGATATTTCAAGCAGATGGGGGGAGATGGGGTACTCTCCTGGGCTACAGAAGGAATGATCTGGTGGTTAAGTAAAACACAAGTCAAATTGATTAGATTTGTCCACAGTCAGTAATGGTGATCTTCTTGCTGGTCTTGCCATTCCTGGATCCAAAGTGCCCCATGGCTTCCACGATATTCATGCCCTCTTTCATCTTGCCAAAGACCACATGCTTGCCATCCAGACACTCAGTCTTGGCAGTGCAGATGAAAAACTGAGAACAGTTTGTGTTGGGGCCAGCATTTGCCATGGACACGATGCCCAGACCTGTATGCTTCAGGATGAAATTCTCATCATCAAATTTCTCACCATAGATGGACTTGCCACCAGTACCATTATGGTGTGTGAAGTCACCACCCTGACACATAAATCCCGGAATTATTCTGTGAAAGCAGGAACCTTTATAACCAAATCCTTTCTCTCCAGTTCTCAGAGCATGAAAGTTTTCTGCTGTCTTTGGAACTTTGTCTGCAAACAGCTAGAAAGAAATGCAGCCCAAGCGCTCACTGTCGACAGCAATGTCAAAGAACACTGTGGGGTTGACCAGGGCTAGACACGGGAGGCTCCAGGGTGGCGGCATCTGCAAGGCCTAACTGTTGCTTCTTGACCCACATACAGGTTTCTCAGGAGACAAGTAAGATGGTCCGGTATTCCCGTCTCTCTAAGAACTTTCCACAGTTTGTCATGATCCAAGCAGTCAAAGGCTTTAGCGTAGTTGATGGAACAGAGGGAGATGTTTTTTGAAATTCCCTTGCTTTCTCTGTAATCCAGAAAATGTTGGCAATTTGATCTCTAGTTCCTCTTTCTTTTCTAAACACAGCTTGAACATCTGGAAGTTCTTGGTTCATATAATGCTGAAGCCTAACATACAAAATTTTAAGCATGATCTTACTAGCATGGGAGATGAGTGCAATTGTCTAATGGTTAGCACAGTCTTTTGCATTGCCCTTCTTGGGAACTGGAATGAGGATTGACCTTTTCCAGCCCTGTGGCCATGGCTGGGTCTTCCAGATTTGCTGATATAATGAATGCAAAACCTTGATGGCATCATCCTTTAGGGATTTGAATAGTTCTGCTGGAATTTCATTGCATCCACTAGTTTTATTAACAGCCATGCTTCTTAAGGCCCACTTGACTTCACAGTTCAGAATGTCTGGCTCTTGGAGACCAACCACACCATTGTAGTAATCCTATTCATGAAGTTCTTTTTTCTTCAGTTCTTCCGTGTATTCTTTCCATCTCTTCTTGATCTCTTCAGTGTCTACTAGGTCTTCACCATTTTTATCCTTTATTGTGTCCATCTTTGGGTGGAATGCTCGCTTGCTGTTTCCAATTTTCCTGAAGAGATCTCTAGTCTTTCGCTTTTTTGTTGTTTTCTTCTATTATTAACCATTGTTCATTGAAGAAGGCCTTCTTGTCTCTTCTAGCTGTTTTTTGGAACTTTGCATTTTAATTGAACGTATCTTTCTCTCTCTCTTGCTTTTTGCTTCTCTTCATTCTTCTGCTGTTTGTAAAGCCTCCTCAGATAACCACTTTTCCTTCTTGCTTTTCTTTTTCTTGGTTCAGGTGGTTCAGAATCCCAGCTCTAGTACTGCTAGTTAGTTGCATACCCTTGGACTAGTCCCCTGAACTCTCCTAGTCTGGGTTTCTTTATTTGTAAATTAAGAACAGTATTACTAATGGCTCTATTGTGAGGATCAAATGAGGTAATGGTAGTGACAGTGCTTTGTAAACAATAACCACTCCACACATCTAGGATAATACTAATAGTGTCCACAGCTCTTCTCCTTCTGAGTCAATGTTTAACTTGACTTAGTTGCCTTTGTATTTTAAAGCAAGAAAAAAATCACTTTATCCTTTTAATCTTTAGCAAATAAATGAAGCCTTTGGGCTTAGATCCTTAGAAGAGGCAAACTGCGTGTCCTGATGTGACCCAGGTCTTTGTGTGTACTCTCTAGATCTCATGTTCATTTTGCTTTTAATTACAGCATTACAGAGTGGAAACTTTAAAATGACACCTTTTAGAACTAGTCATTATTTAGTGACTCTACATTTAAAAAATATTTCTCATGACTTTAAAATAAATTGTCAAGTTCTTTTGTTATTCAGTTCAGTTTAGTTGCTCAGTTGTGCCCAACTCTTTGTGACCCTATGGACACCAGGCTTCCCTGTCCATCACCAGTTCCCAAAGTTTGCTCAATCTCATGTCCATTGAATCAGTGATACCATCCAACTATCTCATCCTCTGTCATCCACTTCTCCTTCTGCCTTCAGTCTTTCCCAGCATTAGGGTCTTTTCAAATGAGTCAGTTCTTCACATCAGGCGGCTAAAGTATTGGAGTTTCAGCTTCAGCATCAGTCCTTCCAGTGAATATTCAGGACTGATTTCCCTTATGAGTGACTGGTTGGATCTCCTTGCAGTCCACGGGACACTCAAGAGTCTTCTCCAACATCACAGTTCAAAAGAATCAATTCTTCAGCACTCAGCTTTCTTTATGGTCCAACTCTCACATCCGTACATGACTAGTGGAAAAACCATAGCTTTGACTAGATGGACCTTTGTTGGGAAAGTAATGTCTCTGCTTTTTAATATGCTGTCTAGGTTGGTCATAGCTTTTCTTCCAAGGAGCAAGCATTTCTTTTAATTTCATGGCTGCCATCACCTTCTGCAGTGATTTTGGAGCCCAAGAAAATCAAGTCTGTCACTGTTTCCATTGTTTCCCCATCTATTTGCCATGAAGTGATGGGACTGGATGCCATGATTTAGTTTTTTGAATGTTGAGTTTTAAGCCAGCTTTTTCACTCTCTTTGTTCACTTTCATCAAGAGGCTCTTTAATTCCTTTTCACTTTCAGTGGTATCATCTGCAAATCTGAGGTTATTGATGTTTCCTCCAGCAATCTTGATTCCAGCTTGTGTTTCATCCACCCCAGCATTTTGCATTATTAACATCCAGCATAATGCCCAGCATTATTACTACTTTGGCCTAAATATAAATTTGTTGACAGAGTGATGATAATGGTTTTTAGTTTAGTTTTATTTTTTAAAACATTTCCTTGAAATTGTAATAATTTAAAAGATTTATTTATTTAAACATATTACATGTTTAAGTTAAATTTAAATGTTTAAATTGTATATACATTTTGTTCTGTGTGGCTGAAGAGAAATGTGAAAATATATAGAATTTTAAAAAAATTATTTATTTACTTAATGTCGGGAGAGTGTGTAATTTCCTTGGTTCTGTCTTGCTACAACAAAGATTTGAAACTGCAGACCAGTGTTGTAGCTTGGTTATGGCTCAGAGTTTTATTCAGTAAGCAAAGAATAGTACACCCTGGAGGCGTGAGGGTGTCCGACTCCAAAGGGGAGGCCTCAAGCCATGCTGGCTCCCGCTTTTTGCAAGTTTTGTTTCCTGCCCCCTGAGCCTGCCCAATGCAAATTAGGCCTGGCCAGGAAGGGGGCGTGTTTGTTTCACCTGAGATTCTCACTCAGGTGTGCGGATTTTCTTTTGTTCTGTCTTTCGCGGACTTTTCTCTTTCTTTGTCTTTCAGCCACCGCCATTTTGGACTCCTTTTTCCTATTCTAACTACCTAACATTTAACTGTTTATTCTTGGCTGTGCTGGGTCTTCATTGGTGTTCTGGTTTCTCTCTCATTGCAGCGGGCAGGGGCACTCTAGTTGCAGGACATGTACAGCTTCTCGTTGCAGTGGCTCCCTTGTGAAGCACAGACTCTCGGGCATGTGGGTTTCAGTAGCTGCGGCACGTGGGCTCCATAGTTGGGGCTCCCAGGCTCTAGAGCAAAGGCTCAACAGCTGTTGCTCTGTGGCATGTGGAATCTTCCCAGACCAGGGTCAAACCCATGTCTCCTGCATTGGCAGGTGGATTCTTTCCCACTGAGCCACCAGGGAAGCCCCAAAATATATGGAATTATATAACTAGGATAATTGGGAGTTCTGTACTCCTTTCCCTCTGTGCACACAATCTTTCCACACTCCTGCCTCATACTAGAAGAAAAACAGCAAAGGTAGTTATCTGAAAAGAGAAAACTGTCAAAGGTACCTGGTCCGAGTCACCATTATTCTCGCCTCGGTATTCAAAATAGCCACCTATCTGGTTTTCCAGCTTCAATCTGTTCATAAAATAACAGTCAAATGATTCTGTTAACATCCACGTCAAATAATGCCACTTGTATGTTCAGAAATATCCGATGGCCTTTACTCCTCAGTCTTCATTTCCTGCCCACCCCTTCACTCTCTCAGTCCAACCACACTGGCCTTCTTGTCCCCCAGGTCCACTTCAGCCTTGACCCGAAAGATGCTTCCCTCAGGTGTCCACAGGAGTAGTTTCCTCACCTCCTTCAGGTCTGTTCACCTGTATGGCAACTTCCTGGTCATCTCTTAAAATTCCACCTCTCACCCCACCCCTACGTTCCTTCCTTTTGTAACAGTTATTACTGAATAATGTAACAATATGTTTATTTATTTCTTTTGTTTATTATCTATCTTCCCCTCACTGACCCAGGAGTGCAAAGGGTTTTTTGTCTGTTTCATTAACTGCTGTATCCTCAAAACCCAGAAGAGTGCCTGGCTCTTAGTAAGAGATCAATAAATGTTTGCTCAATGAATGGATGAATAAAACAAAGATAAGTCATGGTCTTATTTGATTTTCTACACTTACTTGATTTACAACACTTTACTTGAAAAATTGCAAAATTTTCATTAAAACCTTTTAAAAAATGACACAGAAGCTTTGAATACCTCCTGAGGATGAGACCTATGACTGTATCATCCAAAGCATCAGTGTTCTTTTCCGAATATTTTGGACATTCTATGTCTGAAAAATTAAGATCTCCTTTAATCTATCACTGTAAAGTCTAATGTAAGTATAACTATGTAAACCACTCCTAATTTGTCATGAAATGAAGAATTGAATTATAATGAAAAATCTGCCCTTTGTTTTCTTTTTTTTATCTTTTCATTTTTTTCTTTTTTTAAAAAGTATTTATTTTAATTGAAGGATAATTACTTTATAGTATTGTGATGGTTTTTGCCAGACGTCAGTATGAATCAGCCATAGGTGTACATGTGTCCACTCCATCCTGATGTCCTCTGTTTTCTTTGGCTCCATAATTTCCTGATGATCTTAATTTTGGCCATCCATTTTCTGACTTCTGTTTCTCTCCGATTTCCAAGATACAGATATTAACAAAGAGTCTTGCTTGTATTTCTTCTCTCACTTGGCATGCTCTTATCCATTCTTATGGCTTCTGTTACCTCCTTTTTTAGATTTCTCTCAAATGTAGAAGTCCAATCTTGACATTTCTTTTCTTTTCTTTTTTAATTTGTTTGTGTATTTATTTGGCTGTGC